ATATGTATGCTAGCGGATGAAAAAGATGCAAGCTTTTAGGATTTCTGTTCAAGGATGCACAGGTGATCTGAAAGATCAAACAGATCTGCTAGCCAATAAATTCAAATAAAGCTGATCAGTCTGTAAAAACCAGCTCATCTATTGTGAAAAGCCGATGATGATGTGAAGTTCTTTATGAATGTTCCATGTAATCAGGAGTGAAAAAGATGTAAATTGTCTTGATGATTGAGCACAAAGTCTTGCCAAGCCAACTAAGGTATATCAAGGTTTACACATAATGCATATCAGTTGGCATTTGCTTTTGTGATTTAAAAACCCATTAGAAACATTGACTATTAAGTCTGAAATGTGTAAATGATATGTGATGATAAAATGAGAACAGGGCATGAAGAAATTGACCCTGCATTTTACTGTCAAAAATGCCAATCCCACTACTCTCTAGTATCTTAATTTCTCTCTTACCTGTGAATCAAAAGCCGTTTTGTCCATATTTTTCCCTAAAAAGAACTAAAATCCTAATTCCTCCTAAGCATGATCGGAACAAAAGCAATATAACGGGATGCACTGTAAAATAGTGCTGAGTTCCAAGAGAGATGCAGTGTAAAAGCATTGACCTCAAGAGGTACTACGTATAAAGTTCACGCAAATCAATTCATTTCATTCGGGTATGAGCAATAGAAATTCTACTATGTCCACTTTTATCCATTTATATGAAATGCTGTAGTATAATTGTTCCCAAACTGTTAACTAAAGAAAGCATAATATGGCAACATGGACCAAATGCAACATACAAGAGCTGAGACTAAAAGAAAAGAAAATCTAAAAAAAAGTAAAATGCATGTAAACGAAAACACCTCTCTCTGTTTTTGGGTATATAGATGTTCTTTTTCTGTTATGTCATGCATCCCTTTAAAGAACTTCTCTGTTTTTGGAATAGAAGGCTTAAAGATCATGCAAAAGAGAAAAAACAGAAAGGTCTCTAATCTTTGTATATCCAAATCAACTAACCTCCTATAATCTAAAGAGTGTGAATTGGAAAAAAAAAAACACACACGCACACACACACGCACATCAAGGTCATGAGTAGAACTGACAAGTCAATAAACTTGATGAAATCCTTTTAAGTCTAAAGAACTTCTGGAGTCCATGCAGCATCTCTGTTTCTATGCTTCAAGGTTATTATAAGTTAGGAATTTTGGCAATAGATTCTTCACATTTGAAAAAAGACATCTCACCTTTTTTTTTGTTCGAAAAAAAGAACATATTGCATGAAAAGCATACTGCCACTAAGAAACGATTCAACAATTAGGAGATAAAAATGCAGAGTGCATACCTCACACAGCCATTATTGTCTAAGTCAGCAGCAAAAAAATCAGAAACAGTCAAATCATGACCAAGAATCCACTTTGCCATTCTTCTATTCCTCTTATCCACTCTTGCCTCAGCTAAATAAAGAAAAGCCCTAGCAACTGCAAGAGTCGATAAAAGCAACCAAATTGCCGCAAAGATACGACCAGAAAATGATTTGAATGCCTGGTCACCATAGCCAACAGTTGTAACTGACATCACAGAAAGATAGAAAGAATCCACCCATGTAAGTTTCTCCACATAATGCATCACACAAACACCAACCCCAATACAAAGCACCACAACCAACAATGCCAAGGCCACCTTCATCCTAATCCTCATTCTCCCTTTCTTGGCATCAATTACATATGATCTCTTCATTGTCTTCAGCAAATGACTCTCTTGCAAATCAAGAACATGAATCACCATCCCGCAAAGCAATATGTCAATAAACCCAAATCCCACCAACGAAAACAGAATAGAAAAAAGCTTGGTCGCTGTACTAGTGGGAGTAATGTCACCGTATCCTATTGTGCACATTGTCACCACACAGTAATAGAGGGCATCCACCACAGGGTTAGTCTCACTTCCAGTAAAATTATGACGATTGAGAGAATATATAACCACCCCCAATGATAAATAGATAACAAGAAGAATAACCGCTTGGGAAACAATTGAGTTTGAGTTACGTTGGGGTTTAGGCTCAGAGGATTGCTGGTGGTTGAATTCGGGGATCACCGCCATAGCCGGTGCCGTTTTACAGCGACGAACGGCAGGGTTTGAGGATGATTTTCGGGGAAGTTGAGATTGTGATTCGAGGAGAGCAGCTAAAAGGTCGTGTGAAGAAGAATGCTGTCTTGGGGAATTAAGCGAAAGCGTGAGTGCTTCAACTAAAGCTGCAGAATCTTCAGGAGTCGACGGCCCGAAGATAAGGCGCTCCTTGATCTCCGATGCGTTTAGAGGAAGGACCACCTCGTCGTTCTCCGCCAGAGGCGCGAGATGCGAAGGTGGATGACGCTTTCTGGGACTGTAATATGAGAGCAAAGGCTCATTTTCCATTACGGCTATTATGGTGCGATACAGAATTCTACGTTAAAGAGAAGGGAACTTTGCGATTTGGGTTTGTATAAACGTTTCTGGCGGAGCAACGATCAGAAAAACAGAGCCAAGAGACGCGTCTGTGTGGCGGTTGAAAGAAGATGGCGCAAAACGCAGAGGAGTTAAGATACGACAAGAAGAAATCTTTCACCTTTAAAGGAAAAAAAAATTATGGAATTATTCTTGCGAGAACCCAATAAAAGAATTAATGACAATTAAAAACTTGAAATTATAAAATTTCAAATGAGAATGATCGTCTTTGGTTGAATTTAAAATTAAAATTTCCTGGCTAATGTTTTCCACTATTCATCTTTCATATTTTTTTAATACTTTTTTTTTTTACATTTTCAGTACTATTTTTTCTAATTTTGTATTAATCATATTAGATGTTCTTGTTTCTTGATATTCAACTTCCACATTTTTAGTATTAAAAAGCATTAAATATAGGTGTTAAAAATATCTAAGATGATTATTAAAAAATTAAAAAAATCTCGATTATTAAAGTATTAGAAATGAGTATTGAAAATCTAAAAGATAAATACCGAAAAAATTAACTCAGAAAATATTTAATTATAGTATTCTTTCTTAAAAAGAGTAATATAATATTTAATTATTATAATTTGCTCCCATTTTAGTACTGATCCTTCAAAAAGTTAAATGATTTAGGTTCTTTTTTTTTTTCTGGATAAGAGAAGATTTAATAATCAAAAAAATGTACAAGAGTGGTACACTGAGAGGAAACAAACAAGGAAAAATAAAAAGAACAAGTTATCCTGTGCTAATGCCTCTGAGAGGGCTAAAAGCTTCCAAAGTATGATTGGTCAGAGTGATGGCTTCATTAATTAGGCTGAATGCGTGCTTGTGTTCATGAGCAAACCAATGAGTGTTCCGCGCATTCCATAAGAGAGGTAGCAGAGAGAGGCCCATATCACCTTTCCGGTATTGTGATATGATTTGGGTTCTTCTTAAAATGGAGAGACTAACATTTTAGATTAAAAAAAAATTTAAGGAATTAGAACTTATGGTTTAAAGGTATAAAGGCAAAAAAAAAAGAGCAAACAGGTGAACAATTAAGCATTGTATTTACCTTTTTTAAGATTTCAAATTTTTTAAGAGTTTCAATTATCGTTTATATTTTTAAGAGTTTTAAATTTCACTAATTGCATTTTTAATTTTAATTAAAGATAAATGAAAATATTGATATTAATAATATAAATATCAGAATAGAACCATTATTCAAAGTGTGAGCAATATACAAAGATATTGGCTCATTTTGGAATCTCCGACACCCACTCATAAGACATAAAATATGTGATATTTAGTCAAAGAAAATAAAAATGGATTAGTTTTTTTTGGTAATATAGTTATTAGATTATCCCAATATGAATATAAATATATAATACTCTTCCGGTCCTTATTATAAGACCCAATTTGACTTTTTATTTTGTCCTAATTATAAGACCCAATCCATTTTCTCTCTTATATTTATGCATTTTTTTCCAAGATAATCCTTCTAATAATGATAGTTTTAGCCAATATACTTAATTAGCAAGGATATTTTAAGAATAACAACACTTATTTATTATAAATAACCAACTTAACTTACTTCCTTAATCTCCTCAAATAAGTCAATTGGGTCTTATAATTAGGACCGGAGGAGTACTACTATAAAATTAACAACGCACTCCTCTACTTACAAGCAAATTATTGAGTGTAACTAAAAAAAAATATATCAAGTTAGATATTAGGGAAAATTGCAAAGAAAAACTTCTAATATGTAAAATTGTGATTTGGGACCTGAATTTGAAAAATAACAAATAAAGACCAGGTCTCACTTTTGCAAATATGAAATGTGGATGAAATGTTTGAAATGTCTCTCAATCAAATTATAATTTGGTCTACTAAAATTGTCATTTGCTAAAGTGAACTTATCATTTCCTACAGTCAACTTGTCATTTGACATACCCTCAGTCAAGTTGTGATTTGATTTACTGAAATTGTCATTCATTAAAGTGAACTTATTATTTTCTATAATTAACTTGTCATTTGATTGAGAGACATTTTAGACATTTTATCATGACTTCATATTTGCAAAAATAAAATTAGATTCTTATTTGCTATTTTCCAAATTAAAGATCCCAAATCACAATTTTATATATCAAGGAGTCTTTATTTACAATTTTTCCTAGATATTATGTCAAAAACTTGCTTTAACAAAGAATAAGTACTAACTTTTTTCACCTGATATTAATAATTAACTACTCTTTCAATTTTTAATATTATACTTAATTGTTAAGTTAATTTTAATTGTAAATATAATACTTATTTATCATATTTATCAATTTTTTAAAATTATTTTTATTACTCATAATCAAGTAAGAAAGAAAGGAAGAATATTAAATAAGATGATTATAGCATTTTAAAAAAAAACATGTTATATTTCTCGTAATTAACTAACTTACATAATTTTCTTAATTCAATCAAACTGTGCTTAAACTACAGTGCTTATTCACAATGCGAAGTCAGAATAAGGCAAGCCCACAGAAAACTAGCCCTGCAATTAGATGCTATCATGCCCTCTTCATTTCGTGGAAGTGTTATTGGAGGAACCAGGTTATGGACAATTTAATAGAACTGGAATTCCTTAGGAAGCCTGATTCTATCACACCAAACAGAACAAATACAAAAATTCCACCTCCCACACATCCAATTCTAAGGTGATAAACAAGGAAGCACTACTTAAGATAGGTGGATGAAACCCATAACAAAACATATGTTATCAATGAAGACATCACTTCAAAAGTTCTTGGTCCCTTAATTATAGGAATAGGAGGAATTACTGACACCATCAAGAAAGTTCCTAATAGCCAGGAAAGAACAAATGAGCCAGCCCTGCACAGAGCAACAAAGCTTATAGTTAAATCCTTGAGACGTATAGCAGTTATACAATTATCATACTGCAATTATTTATATCAACATAAGGATGATAGATGTGCATAAAAACATTGCAGAAACATGGCTTAACTGGGAATACCCCATAGTAATGCATATTGCAAAATGTCATGCTTTACATACCCATAAAGTAAGGTCCGGATCTTGCTCTTCAGCCGATCGTATATAAAATACATTGTAGCTACCAGAGATATTAAAACCTGAAACGTTGGCCCTTCCTCAGTTGGGAAAAGAACAGTAAGAGCTCCGAGCAACAAGAATGCAACGGATGTTTTTACAATGAACTTCGTGGATGGAGTTTGAAATCTGCTTCTCACAAACTGAACAACCCGAGATTGATTTACTTCCCTCATTTTCTTCTTCAAGTCAATTTTTGGGTTCCTCCGCTCATAGAACTTTTGCATGATAATTTTGTCATGTGCTGATTCAATTGCATCCACACTTGGCTTGTGCCCTGCATATTTTTGAATTAAAAAGTTCCTTGCCCCTTGAATTTCATCTTCAGAAGCTTCCCTGCTAATTCCAAGTCGTTTGTATGGGTCCCTCACATTTATTCTTGGAAATACAGCTGAATTAGCAGCCAATAAGAAGAAATTAAACTAACGGAAATCATAATTATAGCTACACACACGTAACATGCAAGGATTTTGAGTATCACATGCATGACTTGGAAAAGAAAGTATGACATGCAAGTTAAAATATTGCAGAGAATTCAACAAGAGGGGACATAAAAGGGATAATTCTGCATGGCACCGTCCATCACCAATTCCACAAAAATGCTCTAGTTTGAGACAACTTCATTATCCAGACAGCTGCCTCACTGAGAAGCTTCAACAGCACGTCTATATTTTAATACTACCACTTGACCTCCGTCTCAGTGACGTCGTCCAAAGATTTTGAAATGGACTAGTCGGTTCAACTCCATTAAGCAATGAACAAAAGCACTTGAAAGCGCCCAATCTTACCGTCAGACAATAGCCGGTTATTTATTTATTTATTTTTTAAGCCAGTCTCGCTTTTACTCAAATACATTCTTCCAGAGAAATAGGTCCGTCTAACTTGCATTCCAGTTTTACAATACCAGGCATTTGCAATGAAATCTTCACGATAATGATATCTAGAACTTTAAAAAAAGGGGGGAGGGGGAAGAACATTAGTTACCAGGAGATTCATTTGTCATATCACCATAAGAAGCATCCATAGCACTCTTGACCAATTGCATTTTCCGAGTAGCATGTCTTAGTCTCGACGCCACCAAATTGATCCTGTGGGACAATTTACAGAAAAATGTCTCATTCATCATTTCAACCATATACAACAACCCTAATATCACGTTCAAATCCAACAGATCATAATTTAAGGACATACTTTTCGACTTGGAGAAAGTGCAGCTCTTGCTTAGCCTTCCAAACCCCAGAAAAAGCTGCAATTTGGAAGTGCGGTGACCTCAAGCGAGAAGGAACATGGAGACATCTTGAGGGGCAACCACTCAATCCAGATAGTGTCATTATTAGAAATTATATTTTAACTAAATGAACCGCTGATGCTATGTAAAATCAAAAATTATGGACAGAAAGAGAGAGAGAAGTAACGAGCAAAAGCAGCGATGAGACTTGGGAGAGTGATCGATTAAGGGGGGAGGCGAAGTGTGAGACTAAGGGAATATGGAGGGAGCGAGAAGATAACGAAGAACGCGAGAGACGACACTCAGGTTAGGACTCACTGACTCAACTCTGGATTGACGGCCGAGCACAAGCCCCACCGAAATCAGGAGGGTGGAGAATTGAAGATTAGGTTTTACTATTTCGGTTTTTGGGATAATGTTAAAAGACCAAAAAGCCCAAAACCAGACTACCAATCATGAATTACTTCGCTGTTATTATTAGGGGTGTGCATGAAGCCCAAATGCCCGTAAAGCCCGCCCGAGCCCGAAGAAAAATTGCCCAGCCCAACCCGAAAAAAAAGAGCCCGAAAAAGAATGGGCATTTTTGGGCTGGGTATTTCATGGGCAGGGCTGGGCATCGGGCAGGACATGCTGCCCTGCCCATTTGGCCCTGCCCAGATTATATATATTATAATTTATAAAATAATATTAATATATTATATTTCTTTACCTAAAAAAAAAGTTATCTCCCTCCTTTTTGCAATTTAACTTATTATTATTACATGTCTATTAGTTTTCTATTTTAAGGGATCTAATTCTTCTAAAGAAGCAGTAGTATCTTGCTTTTAACTTGTTATTCGTGAGTTTTATTGTGTATATCCTATTGTTTGTTGCTGTTGTAGTGTTGGCTATTTATAAGTCAATCTTCCCCTCTATGTCATTAACAACTTTATTTGTTAGAGAATTGAGTTCATACATTATATATTTGTATAAATAAACAATTTTGAATATTTATGCAAGATAGAAAACAAGATTGGGGTAGGAGCATGGAAAGAAAATTGGGGTTTAATTATCTGAATTACATGTTTTCTATTTGATTTATATTTAGTTATTTTGTATTAATTTTTTATGAACAAGTCATATGATAGAAAGAAGTCTTTTAGTTGTATGGACTGCTAGCTGCATTGTATCGCATAATAAGTATTTACATATTAAAAGTCGTTATATTAAATTATTATGAGATTATTTTTATTTTTCTTTTTACAATTATTTTCACCTCATTTTTATATGTCTATGTTATTCCTATTAGCCCATTACTTCAGTTTTAATATCTTTTTACAATCTTTTAGGTAACATTTAATTTTTGCCACTTAAATGGATAATCAAGTTTCTATTACATCGCCATCCCTGGCTCCCAATGGAATATCTCAATGTGCTTCAACCCCTCTTCAATTTTTTCAGATGTTTTATTCTTTTCTCAACTTTCTAGAGATTAATGCAAACCGTTTGAATTTCAAGACTTTAATTACAATCTTGAGAGTTGTTTTGTTCTAAATAGATTATGAATATTATTTATTTGGATATTTGCTAAGGCTTGTTTTGAATTATTTTTGGATAATTTTAATGTGTGAAAATATAAAATTATGAAATGTAATTTTTAGGTATGGATGAAAGTTTTTTTACATGTGATATCAGTAGGTCGTCATCATTTGGGCAGCAAAGCCCGCCCTGCCCAGCCTGCTCATGCCCAGCCCAAAATGGTTAGGGCTTCTATGGGCAGGGCCGGGCAGCGGGCTGCAAAATGCAGCCCGTTCATGTTTCGAGCTGGGCATCGGGCAAGGGTTCTGCCCTGCCCAACCCTGCCCATGTGCACCCCTAGTTATTACCACTGCCGTGCCTATGATTGTAATAAGTGGGAGGTTTGGATTATTCCCTAAAAATGGCAACTTCTGTGTTTTTACGAAATTGCCACCTCTCCTCCTAAATATAATAATTAGTTAATTAATACAAGTAAATTAAGAAAATAAATTAAGTTAATTATTTATAATAATTATGTGTTACTCCCTCCGTTTCTTATTATAAGAGATGGATAACCGAATTACATTAATCAAAAAAGTAGTTAAAATTACTTAAGAACAATCAATGTGTAAAAAATATAATTTTTTTCCTAAAAATGCCCTTATTAATAAGGAGAGAGAGTATGAGAGAGAACAATTAAATTATTGAAAAAAAGAGAAGTGAGAGGGAGAGAGTGTATGAATTTGAGACAATAAATATGGATAAAATAGGAAATCAACACAAAAAAGTAGAGACAACTTTTAAGTGTCTCTTATATATAGGAACATGCCATAAGCACCAAATGTCTCTTATAATAAGAAATTGAGGGAGTATTTTTCTTAAAATATCCTTACTAATTAAGTTTATTGACTATAACTACTACTCCTCCGGTCCTTAATATAAGACCCATTTAACTAATTTGATTAGATTAAGGAAGTTAGGTAAGTTAGTTAATTATGAGAAAAGTGACACATTTTTCCTAAAACATCATAATCATCTTTCTCAATACCTCATCTTCCTCTTCTACTTTACTATGGTTGAAAGGGTATCCATAGGGGTAATTTAGAGAGAATTGATAAATATGAGAAATGGGTCTTATATTTAGGACCAAAACCAACTCAAGAATTTGATCCTATATTAAGGACCGGAGGAGTATTATTATAAAGACTATTTTAAAAAAATAGATAAATATGAGTGACAAAGTAGATTAGAATCTTATATTTAGTACTAAATTACAAATCAGATAAGGTTTTATAAAGCTAGAGGTAGTAATACTTTTCGCTCATCGAATGTCTATGGGGTGAACCTAATTCAAGATCCTCCAAGTTTTTGTGTTCATCAAATGCAGCAAGATTTGATGAACAGCAATAGGATGTCTTTATCCTATGTTTAGAAGTGTTGTTTTGTCTGATTTTACAACTTCACAATTGGCTTACTTATTCCAAAAAGAAATAAAACTTTTCTCATTTATTCATCTCTTATCATATAAAATTATTTTATTTAAAATAAGATAAACAACATGCCCTTAAATAACACCATTACGCAAAATGATTATCATGACTTGAGGACAAAAATTTTAACAAAAGTCAGTGTTAGTGCGAATATAATAATATTTATTCCTAAAATAAGTGATTGGTAAGTTAATTTTCAGGAAAATATTTTGTCCTAACAACTAAATGAAATTTTTTAAAAAATTTAGAAACTTTTTAAATTTAAAATCAACAGAAATGCTGTAGAAACCAGCTTGTGGATAAAGCTTGGCAAAAATTGAAGAAGAAAAGTTATATATATATATAATATATATATATATATATATAAAGGATCTACAAAATAGGTAACACTTATAGTAGATTTTTTAAAAAAAAATTTTAAGAGTGAAAGTTGAAAACTGTAAAAGATATTTGAAAACAAAAAAAAAGGTAAAATTAGTAAAAAGATTTACGAAATAAGCACAATCTGTTGTAGGTTTTTAAGGTTTACCATCTGTTGTAGGTTTTTAAGGTTTTTATTTCAAAAGTATTCTTAAAATAAAATTTTCCTTTAATTTTTAGTCTTTGAGTTATGTATAAAACAAAAATTTTTCAACTTTTAGAGACAAATTTTTTGTCATTGTTGTTTTAAAAAATTAATCTACTCTTTTTATTGAGCAGAAAATCATAGAAGTTTATACATAAATAAACGACAGTAATTTGGGTGCCAAAATTTAAAGCCCAGACTAGGCTCAGTTTAGGCCCAGAGGCTAGATCCAATTTCTCATGGGCGTACCCGGTCCGAAAGCTCGAAAACCGCCGCTACAAGAAAGGCATTATTTTTTGTTAATGAAAAAGGGAAAGGCGTCATTTTGATCGGCGTCGGAATTCCGATCCCTACTTGTCGTTTGGAGTAATCAATCTTTGGCACTCAGAACAGTGAAAGCATAGCTACATGGATCCGAAGCTAACAGAGGTCTCTCAGCGCTTTGAGCGCTTCAAAGCCGCGTTACTTAGGAATGACTTTAACACCTGCTGTGATCTCCTCTCCCAGTTGAAGGTAGCGAAGCCGCAAACCCTAGTTTATGAGTTCAACTCTTATTGCTCACTGTACCTTGTACTAGAAATTTTGTGAAATTTATATGAAAATTGTAGCAGTCAATCCGTAAACTTTCCTTGCCGTCATTGGGTTTTGGAAAACCTATTTAGCTGGTTGGTTTTAAAAAGAAGAGATAACGCTTTAACAGATTTGGCATCGAATGATTTCGTGGAAATACTAATTTGTTTAATGAAGTGGTGGAGACCACTCAACATCGATCTTGGATGGAATATATGTATGCAATTTTGCACTTATGGCTCGATTGCTTCTGCATGGGCTAATTATGTTAAGAAACCAATCATATTGAAATATTGAAGCTGTGGGAGTGGTTACTTAGGATATATAGTTATGCTAGGACAACATATCCTGCCTGCTGAATGGTAGTTGAACCTTCCCCAAGTATGTTTTAGTAAACATTTTGGCGTGCCAAGGGTTTGATGACCCAGCAGCAAGTTGGGTGATTGGTTCGTAAACTTTTGGTCTAGGCAGCTAATGCAGTGGGCAGCTTTGCTTCGAAATTAACGTGTTTATATGAACAATGCACGAAGGAGGAAGTCATAGGTTTTGGGATTCGGTGATATACACACACAGACACTTCTCTGCAAGGTCTTGAGTTTCTCAGATCTGGTTTGCGATGCATTTCAATTGGATTTTTTTTCTAATCCCTGTACATAATGACTTATTCTTGTTTTGCAGGTGTTACTAACAGAGTTCAGAAGCCTTCCACCTTTGTTTGAAGAGACATCTAATGCTGTCCATGAATTGACAATAGCAAGTAGATAATCTTGACCCCAATCTGGTTTTTCTCCTATTCTTCTTTTGTACCATACCAATAAACTTTTCTAAGCCTATTATTTTTACAAATAGATTTGTATTCTCTTTACTTGACTAATAATATGAGTAGATCTTAAATTTGGAGGTGAGTTGAGTGAGTATGGATTGATATTGTCAATGATTACCTCATAATAATAGCTTAGCCATCAGCTTTCTTGGTCAAAAGCCGAACCTTTTGGATGCACCCATGGCTTCATTTCTACCCTTTTCTATTCTTTCTAGTTGATCCCATGGTTTAGGAAGACAATCTTGCTGTGAACATCATCACAGCTTGTTGTGGTAAAATTACCTTAGAGATCATTAACTTGGTTTCAGAAGGAAAATATAAATGAATATAGCTATTAAAGACGGAGAAGAGACTATAAATGTTTGTTTTTCTATTTTCCTTGTGTCTCTGAATCTTATCAGTATGTACCTCCTAGAATTCTTATTGATGAGGCATTGTTCTATTTCTCATTAGTATTTGAAACTTCCAGGGGATATATATGAGCATGCTGTTGTCCTTAGTGTCAAGATGGAGGATCAGGAAGCCTTTGAGAGGGATTTCTTCCAGTTAAAACCCTATTACACAGATGCTCGGTAACTTGTTCTTCCCCTTTTCCCCTATTTATAAATTTCTGTTGCCACTATGACAGTTGAACCTGCTACACATATGAGGGGCATTGTTTTATCACTTAGTTTTCATGGACTTTGCATGTCAAGAAACAGGAGAGAAGTAGTATTAGCACAGAGATGCATGTCTGTTTGCAGTAATCTTTCAGTTGTTTAAATACGTCTAGGACAACTCCTTTGTCTATTTTTATGCATTGCATTTTTTAAGATATATTTTTATCATAGACCTAGTCCACATTACATGTGATTCCCCACTTGTATCTGCTTTTTGGTATGTGTCTCTTCTTTTTGTCTACCTCTCAATATATTCTAAAGAGTCTCAGGGTTTTTATGGTGCAGAAACCGTATTCCTCCATCCCCTCAGGAGTACCCTATATTAGGCCTCAACCTGTTGAGACTGCTTGTGCAGAATAGGATTGCTGAATTTCATACAGAGTTGGAACTGCTTTCATCCACTGCTCTTGAAAATCCCTGCATCAAGCATGCTGTGGAGTTGGAGCAATCCTTCATGGAAGGTGCCTACAATCGTGTCCTGAGTGCCCGACAGACAGTGCCACATGATACATATGTTTATTTCATGGATCTTCTGGCAAAGACAGTCAGGTAACATAGTTCTCCTGTTTCTGTTGATAGCTTAGCTGATGAAATAAATATGATGGACATCTAGAAACAGGCATTCTGGCTAGATTTGTTTTATTCAAAACTGGGGCTTTTCTAACTAATTTTAGTGGACTATTGAGAGAAAGCAAATGCAATAATAAGCCATGGGGTTGAGTTGGGAATGCAGGATTATCATTCTGGGCGCTTGGTGGAATATTTGCTTTCTCCATACTCTTCAAATGGTATTTCACTTGTTGGCTGTCTTTTGACATGCCATATCAGCTTATCTATTATGATTGGTAACAAGGTATCTATTTTGCAACTCCCAGAGATGAAATAGCAGGATGCAGTGAGAAGGCATATGACTATCTTTCACTAAAAGATGCTCGACAAATGTTATTGTTTTCTTCTGATCAAGAACTCGTTAAATATATAAACGAGGTGAGCATCATTGTATCTTCTGCACTTCATGTGGATTCTGTTTTTGATATGGCATGTTCTGCCTTGGATCATCTGGAAAGGATTGATGTTGTGGGAACTAGGTTTCTGGTGAATAAACCAAGCCGCTGTTCTGACTTGATGAAGAAATTTCACACCGTGCAAATTGAATTGAAATTTGAGCAAACTGTAAAGCCTAACGAAATAATTTAACCTTTCGGTATCACATATACAAGAAAAATAGGAAAAACTCCATCTCATCATTGTACATTTCAATTCCATTCTTTTGTGTTGTAACGTTCTTCCATAATCGCAGGAGCATCCTGAGTGGGAGGTTCTTAATGGGGCTGTGTATTTCCATAAAGCCAAAGAATCAGCGCCTTGCAAAGAAATACCATCGCTGCAGCTTATCAACCAGACGCTCAGTTATGCTAGGGAGTTGGAGAGGATTGTGTGAAGAGAATACAATGCTATCTCATTTTCCAAAATTTCCAGATCTGGAATATCTTTGCTGATACTCTCATTTTAATATTTTTTTTCTTCCCCAGTTCCCAATCCTCTGCAGAACTAGAAAATTTTTCTCGTGCCTAATTCATGTCATTGGCTATATTATTCCTTGAGGTACTATTTTCATTCACTGTGCTGTTGCAGAAGGAGAAGAAAAACGCACTATACTGATGTCTTTTTCTGTTGAATTTTATGTGTTGTCTCGTGACGCTGTAGTTAGGTTTTAAACCCATTGAAAGGCTCATATTATAAACAGAAGTTTACTATTTTATCATATGAGGGATCCTTAGTTTGCCGCCATCAAATCCTAAGATGTCCGATTCAACTCAACGAATTGCGAAAGGGATTCGGGGTTTACGCCGTTAACCTTTGCGAATTCAAATTTTGTTCGTTTTAAATTTCAAGATTAAGTTATGTTTGTTACTTATGAACGAAGGAGCCTTTTATAGATTTTATTAAATCTATTAATATATTGAGGTATTGTTGACATTTTGAAAATGAGTTGAAAAGAAGTTACTCGTGTTGAGATAAGAACTAGGGGCTACTCACTTATAATGTGTTGAACTAAGATTTGAATTCCTGCTGGGAGAGGTAGGAGGTATTTATATTTAGGATTATCTCTAATATGAGGATATTTATGTTTTAATAATAAAAAAAAGGTGATATTCTCAATCTTCGTTAATATATCTATTTTTTGTGTTCTTATGAAAACATCATTTGTTTTTGCTTTATTTTCTATTATGTTCTATTTTGGTTTTTTTTTTGGCCTTTTGGGTCTTCAATGCACTGAACAAATGAGCACTGATGTTTCATACGTTGGTTGTCAAGATAGAGTGATTGTTTCTTTTTGTTTCTTTTCATGTACAAGAGCTATCTGATTTGGAGTTCTTTCCTTTCATTTTTTCTCAAATTATAGAAAATGCATTATCAGATGGATTCTATAAATTCTGCTTCTTTTTATGAAGAAGCAAAAATTTATTTGATAAAAAGCATCATCGTCATCATCATGCTACATTTCGTTTGGAGGAAAATGAATCTTGCTCTGCATAAAGGAATTATTAATCCCCCACCAAAGGTAATAAATGAATGTCAAAACTTGCAACCCTATCTCACTGTCATTTGGTCCTGGTTGTAAATTAATAACAACATATCTACTTGCAAAGATAGTGAAGTTCTTTAAAAATATATACACACGAGCCTTTCCTCAAAAAAATTGATAACCAAACTAGCTAAAAGGAAGTCTCAATTAAGGAAAATTTAAAATAAAGCAGGAATATGGTGTGCCAGCTCTGTTCATCGTCATGGAGAAGAAGAGGGCACAATACCTTTTTTTTTTTTTTCCTTTTTGGTGATAGAACCCACTTTGAGTAACCTATCTTCGATAATTATTTTGCTGCACTGTTCTAGTAGTGTTTATTCTTACAAAGGAGTAGTTGAGCATAGTAGAATTGTTTGTCATAAGCAAAAACTTCTCAGCAGCACTTTCCTGCAGAAGGAAAAAGAAGGAGAACTTGAATATGGATATATGATGCTTTTTCCTTGATGAATTCCTTCTCTTTGTCCTTATTACTCCTCCGGTCCTTAATATAGGATCCAATTGGTGAGTTGGTTTTGATCCTAAATATAAGACCCATTTCTCATATTTATCAATTTTCTCTAAATTACCTCTATGGATACTCCTTCAACCATAATCAAGTAGAAGAGGAAAATGAGGTATTAAAAAAGATGATTATGGTATTTTAGGAAAAACGTGTCACATTTCTTATAATTAACTAACTTACCTAACTTCCTTAATCTAATTAAATTAGTTAAATGGGTTTTATATTAAGGATCGAAGGAATATTATTTCTATTCTTCAATGTAAGGGTTGCTTAAGTAATTCAAGACCGATGCTAACTCCAGTTTTAATTATAAAAGCTAGTAAATTAACTCTTATAATTAGGATCAACAGTAGTATATTATGGTACCAATCATAATTCAAACTTTAAGATTTTCAAATGGAGGTCCTTTCCCAGATTTGTGCTTCCCTAGTTTCATTCAAATTTAGCAAGCACATTCATCTCTCTCTCTCTCTCTCTACTAATAATTTATCAAGAAAAGATTTGTATAGCTTATAACGAATTAGTTACCACTTGCCGGTGAAAGTTGAATGATTTATCATCTAGAAAAATGTGCCTAATTATTTTAGGAAAAATATATAAAATATTTAATAAAGAAATAACACATAAAAAATGATCCGGGTCAGGGCATTTACATATATAAAAATCCGAAAGGAATCGCACGGAGAGCACGGCTCGTTTTGTCTTTTGAGTAGAAAACTACGTTTTGAAGTTCAGTTTGTGAGTGGGGGAGTGTCGCCGACATCTGAGTTCAAAGGCCCACCTCTGCCCGCTTTCCTCTTTTGATTCTCTTTCATGATCGTTCTCCACACTGCATCTTCTCAAAATCATTCAATTCCTTTTCTTATTCAATTAATGAAACCCCCTTTGTACAAAGTTTGTAGCTTTCACTAAGTAACCATAAAAAAAAATCCTTTTAACCCTCAGAATTCATTCGAACTGGTAGGGAAGACGACAATGGCTTTCAGTTTCAGTATGAACCTCAACCTCCTCCTTCTCGTCGCCATGGTTGCCTCCAATTATCTCCCTCTATCATCTCTCCTCCACCATCATCTTTCCCTCCAACCCTCCTCCTCACCCGTCCCCGACCACCTCCTCCGCCAACTCCACTCCATACGCGGCACCATAAACCGACTCACGCGCCTCCAGCAAACTTCTGCCGACACTAACACTGTTCCAACTACTTCTGCTACTACGAATAAAAACCACAGCATTCCTTCAGATCTCTTGCTCTACTCTCGTCTCTTCCTATTGCTTCCTCTTGCCATGATTACCTGAGCTTCTTCACAAGTACATGAGCTACACTCCGTTCTCGCTTTGCCCTTCTGATTCTGATATCGCCGAGGCTCTCATGCTCCGTGGCTGCCACCCACTTCCTCGCCGGAGATGCTTTGCACGGACCCCAAAAAAACCCACTTCTTCACTTCCACATAACCCCTTTTCTTCTTCTCTCCCCAGCTCCAATGTTATATGGGACAAGTACTCATGTCAGAGCTTTGACTGCTTCAATCGACTGAATCCAAATCTGGGTTTTGATGCGTCTCGTGAAGTAACCAAATTTGTGAGCTAAAGTCTGAACTTGACCTCCCAATACCTCAGTTTTTACAGATTGCGAGAGCCGCTAAGTCTGTGATTCGATTGGGACTCGATATTGGAGGAGGAACTGGGACTTTCGCTGCGAGAATGAAGATGCATAACGTGACGGTTTGACGACGACGACCATGAATGTGGCTGCGCCTTACAGTGAGGCCGGGCGCTGAGGGGGTTGGTGCCGCTGCACGTTCCGTTGCAGCAGCGGCTGCCGGTGTTCGATGGCGCGATGGATGTGGTGCGGTGCGGGCAAGCCGTGAACCGGTGGATTCCGGTGACGATGATGGAATTTTTGCTGTATGATGTGGACAGAGTGCTGAGAGCTGGGGGTATTTGTGGGTGGATCATTTTTTCAGTAAAGGGGTTGATCTTGAGGCGGTGTACGGACCCCTGATCGGAAAATTGGGGTACAAGAAAGTGAAGTGGGCGACTGCAAACAGATGGATATTGCTGGTTTGAAGAATGGAGAGGTCTACTTGACTGCCTTGTTGCAGAAACCCGTGTCAAGATAACTTGAAACACAAGGTAATGAGCCATATTTAGAAACTATGACTGAGAATGAAGTCATTATAGAGTGTCACTCATGTTAATGTTAGATGATTAGGAGTGAAGCTTGAAATTGCCCTGACAGGAAAAGTGGGTTTGCTATTATGAGCTGAGCTGTGTAGTAATAGTTACGAGGTTAATAATAATAATTGAGACTATAATTCAAGTATTATGCGTTAAGTGATGCTTAGAGCTTATATTTGTTGGTGAAACTCAAAGTACTAGCAGGTCTTTTGACATAAAACTAGATAATGAACTCGTATGTTGTATGGAGTATGAGGTATAGGATTCATAACTTGTAAACAGTACAGATTTCTTAAAGGTCTTTAGATGTAAAATCAGGGATTTTGTTATGCGAGAAATGCTGAATCTTCTATGTACTTCTTATGGTGAGTTAGTTCACTATTATGGAGGGTGTTTAGACTTGCTTTGTAAGAGAAAAAACTCTAGAGGATCCATTTCATTTACCAGGGCCGTCAATTTTACTACAGGCATTGATGCAGAGTGAGAAAGATTAGATTCATTTGGGCAAAAACTACATATCACCTCCCCCATTTACATGCTAATTCCTGCTTGAAAATGTAATAGAACTCTTTCTATTTTTTAAGGAAACCCAACATTCCCATGTTAAAGAAAGCAAAGAAATAAAAGGTATTTTGCTCCATCTTCGAGATAGTCTTTCAAAGGGAACCGAGTATTTTTAGTTCTGTTGCGTTCTTTTGGCTGGTTCTTTACTTTCTGATGTATGCAAATCCTAATCTTATGATTGAGTCCTAAAAGATTTTCATTTCCTTTTTCTGACTGTAGTTGATGCATTTCTAATAAAAACACTTACAAGGATATACAACAGTAAAAGGTTCCTTGAGATCAAGGGGCTTTCAATGAAGAAGCAATTCCAATATCCACTGTGAAGGATCTTTCACTCGTCTTGCTGCATTATTCAACGTCCAAAACCACAAATGGAACAAAAATAGAAGCAGCTCAAGCAGAGGCTCAAGGGCTAACTGTTTGAAGAAATCCCTCGTTTTCGTCGTCATCGTCATCGTCGACTTGTGTGATTCTAATTCATTGTTTGGAAATAGATCTACGAGGCACTAATTACCAGATTTAGATTTTTTTTTTATACTTTTCTCTATTACGTCTCTGTATGCATTTAAAATAGTTAGTGCGCGCGCGCGCGTGTTAAAAGAGTGGATACAATATTGAGAGCAGCAAAAGGGCATCGAGGGAAGCGCATATATTCGACTTGATATTAGTACAACGAACGCCCCTTTTGAATGGTATATATAATTAATGATGTTCTAATACTTTACTTTATCAACAATACTTCCACCTACAATACTCCAAATACAGTAAGTCGGGATGGATTAGGTGGCAAATTAACAAAACATAGAAAGAATTAGCGCGCTCAAAATATTTGGACTAATCAATTTCTTTATTCTCTTTAATTTCATTTAGTTTTAAAGTTCACAATTGAGAGCTCGAAATCTTTAAGCTTTATAATGTAACTAGATGAGAGCCCTTTACAAATGCAAAGTCTAGGATAAACCATACCATCCATGGACATCTTGTATATTGAAAAAAATGCTATCCCATTCACGGTACAACTTTTCTCAATTTGTGGATAAAACACATTTGATCATGTTCTGAATCTTCCCCATTAATATCAATGTACATCAGATGAAATTTATTTAAAAAAAAAAAAAAAACTATTCATGAGTTTTGAATAATACATTTTAAGCTCAAGTCAAATTCTATGCAAAGCACAATACCCCACATTAATTAATGTAATTATGTATTTAGACATATAGATTACATTACCAATATAAGCGAAACCCAGACAATAGGTGAACAAAAAGTCAGTGATGTTTCAGTAAAGGCTAATCCACACATTACAGAAATAACAAGATCAGGCAAACAGATGGAAAAGGAAACAGATCTTGGGGCAGAGTAAATTGGAAAAAAAAGAAAAGAAAAATTACTGGCTAAACAACTGCACAAGGGAGAGCCGCATATGACAGTAATTGCATAAGAAGCACAGTCCATGAACATAGCATCCATCACATTCCGCATCACCAAGGCAGCTTCTAGTGCCCTGCCAAGATGTTCAGTCCAGTGCTCTGAGTCAGAAGAGTTCTATTTGGTCTTTCTGCAGCACTTTCAGAACCTCTTCGTTTACCAGTAAGAAGTTGTGGCAACTACAACAGTTACATTTGTCACTAAACCAGGTAGAGCGGCCTAAAGCTTAGTATACCCTTCACATATTTGTTATCTAGCAAGGGAAATCCTAGGTAAGAGAAAACTACTAGCTAGCAGGGCTACAACAACAGAACAACAAAGGCGGGTAATCTTTGATGCAGTAATGGCAGAACTTATTTCTCTAAAAAGTTTAGGGTCCCGAGACTGAACTGATGACTGTCGTTCAGCTCCTACAATAAAACTGGATGGATCTGGAGGCGGTTGTACCTGACCAACTTCTGATGAAACAACTGATGAACCTGGAGGTAGTTGCACTTGTTCAACTTCAGATGTAGGCACATTTGAAATCTGATTATGCTCTAATTCACGCCAAGGAGGTGTCTTGCTGCTGCTTGTGCAAGCATCAGAGTGGTCTGGATCAATAACAGGATCAGGTTCTAATAAAATTGGATCAGACCCCCTCTGCCTCATCTTGAAGAGAAACTGCACATAAAGATAACTGATCAGTAAAAGTAAGAAAGTTATGCATTTCCGGTTACAATAGAGGGACATATAAAGCTTTAACTAACGGTTACAACAATGCTTTAGCTGCGCCATGCCCCTAACTATCCCAAGCTCAGATCTAACCAGCTGTCTAATGAGTAGTCACTTGGTTACAAGATAATAAACCAAAGAAACTAGCTGATCAACTATATGAGTACTTTTCCCACAATCATTTAATGTCTCATTTATTTCCCCACCAGGCAAAGTTACGATGTAACTTTTACATTCCCCCCTCAAAAATTTAAAGATGTGCAAATTGCTAAGTTTTTTCCACTCATTGTCCAGAAAGGCTACTGGAGAATTTAATTGAGCTACGCCACTGATCTCTGAAGAGACATCAAATGGTTGCTTTCCTCCTGGGAGAGGTAATACATGTAGGCCCACTAAACAAGAGAAACATAAACAAGAGAAGCAATACCCCGGTTCTGTGTCCCCAAAGCAAGAGCTCTAGGAGCTTGTATATGGACATGGACCCTATAGCCTTCAGGATTTTTCACAAGTTTTCCTCTCTCAGGATTAAAACTCCCAGTTACACCCTATAGGCTTACTTTAGAATTCATTTCTTGCCACTCAATGTACTTCCAGGCTGCATGCAAATCTCAAATGATTGAGAAGAGACACCAGAACAGAAAGCAGGGGCATTAAGCAGAAAATTGATCCCTTCCATGATGTTTTAAAATGAAAAATCTAATTAAGGAGCCAAAGCCCTAGAACTTCCCGAGGCTCATGGGCATTGCACAGACAGTGGTGAGCCGCACAATTCTATGCCGTTTATCTTTATATAATATATTGATAACCAGTCCTGAACGTTGGTCTAAGTTCACGATTCCAAAGCATGAGTGAAATATCCACATTGAAAATCTATGAACACTTGCAAAATACCCATTGCACCTTAATCCACACAATTTGACCAAACTCATGTGACAAAAAATTTAAGTCAGAATGATCTATAGAAACCAAATTTTGTGAAACCCACTCAAGGAGAATTTATCAATTTGAATCCTTTCCATCATCCTGCCATGTTTCCCCACTAAGAATAAAGGTATCACAAAGTATGGACCCATCCGCAGAAAAAGAAGAAATACAACATTAGCAAAACTTAAATTCAAGTGACTCACGAGCAAAGTAAAATGCAGCCATACGTACGCAAGCAGATAGAACACTACTTAACTAGCTATAGATTTACTGCCACATCGGACTTCTAATACCAGTGCATGTCGGATTAAACAGAGAAAATATTACACACCCGATCACAGAATAAGCCAATACATTGCCATCCAATCATATCTGACTTAAAAAGAAATTGCAGAAAAAAAAAGAGAAAGTATCTTACGAAAAGAAATTCGAAGAAAGAAGAAATGTACCGCTGGTGTTAGGATGGGAAAATACGAGGGGAATAGCTTGATCGTTTACACTGAACGGCCCAGGTGATGAATCCGCATAAGCATCGGTTGGTTGGGAGTGGGAAGAAGCCGAACGAGGAGGCGAACGATTTTCGATCCGACCCGTTATAAGGGCTAATCGGTCGGATCCGCGCTCCAAGATTTTCTTTCTTCGGGCTTCTCTCGCGTTCGCTGCCATCGCCAATCGGACCGCCAAGCCAACCGACCGGGCTCACTATAAAAGAATGTGTGCGACAGGGAGAGCTCATCTTCACGGCTTGCACGTTAAAAGCACACATACAGCTCACATCTTTTGATGTTAAAAAGGAACAAAAAAATAGGGAAAAAAAACAAGAAACATATAATTTTGATTTTTATTCTCAAAAAAATTTTATAAAATTGTTTCGTAGAACAACTTTTGGAAGGAAAAAAAAATTGTTTCGATAATAATTTTAAAAAATCACATTTGAAAAAAAAATCATATTTGGCAAGTGGTAGTTATAAACAGTGATAAATACTAGATAGTATATGATAAGAGAAGATTTCTCCAAATTTTTAAAAAATAAAAAACAAAAAAAACGTAAAAGTTGTTTTAAAGTTGAAAACATGTTTGTTTTTTTGTTTTTTAAAACAATCAACTAAAAACAAATTATCAAACAAGTTTTTTTTCCTTTTCAAAAAAAAAATTGTTTTCAAAATGAGAAAATAAACAAGCTCCAATTTTTTCCCCTATGTGTGAGATGGCTCTAACTTTTAAACCCATAATCCCCTTTGTTAGATTGATTCTAATCCACCGATTGGGTCTAATCTGATAAATATTTAATGTTTAAATCTTTTCCAATTAGTTAACTAGGTTTTATGTTAAGGGTAAAAAATAATATTAAATTTTACAAGAATCTTGCTACTTTATCAATATATCAATGTATAATTGATCATGTATAATCTAATCCTAGGTT